CTGAAGTGTGAGGAGTAAAAATTTGTTCCCAGGATGTAGGCTCCCTATTTACCTCTCTTATTGTTTCTCTTGCTGAGAAAAAAACTTTTCAGTTTAAGTAAGTCCCATTTGTTGATTCTTGTTATTAACTCTTGTGCTATGGGTGTCCTATTGAGGAATTTGGAGCCCTACCCCACAATATGTAGATCGGAGCCAACCTTTTCTTCTATCAGACGCATAGTCTCTGGTCTGGCTGGGCGCCTCTACAATATATTTTGAAGAGCATTATGGTGTGTGGTTGGAGCATGGTCAGGGCTTTAAATCACTTGAGGATGTCTCTTTTTGTTTCCCAGGATTGAACCCAGGGCTGCTTAGCCACTGAGCCACATCTCCAGCCCTTTTTATTTTCTGTTTCACGATAAGGTCTCATTAAGTAGCTCAGGGCCTTGCTGAGTTGCTGAGGCTGGCCTTGCAAAACTGGTGACCTTGAGGATGTCTTTCTGGCTTCTGTACCATATTCTGACTCTGCAGGCTGTCCCCCTTATGACCCATTTTTGTGGTCTTCTGATATTGAGTTTCGAGTACGAATGCATATGTCCACAAACACAGCTGTTTTGCGTGGTTCTTGGTGAGATTTGAAACCTTTAGCTCAGGAAAGTTTGTTCTTTGATAATATTTATCAGAGTAGAGTTGCTCATCTTTGGCACTATTGAAGTTTTGAGCCAGATTTTTCTTTGTTTTGGGGTGCTTGTTATGGTTTGTATGTGAGATGTCCCCAGAAGCTCATGTGTGAGACAACATGAGAAGGTACAGAGGGGGAATGATTAGGTTGGGAGAGCCTTAACGTAATCGGTGAATCAGTCTCTGCTGGGATTAATTGGTAGCTGGAGGCGGGTGGGTGTAGCTGGAGGAGGTGGGGCATTGGGGGCCTGGCTTTGGGTATATATTTATATCTGGCAAACGGAGTCTCTCTGCTTCTGCTCATCATGTGAGCTGCTTCCCTCTGCCACTCTCTTCTGCCACGATGTCCTGCCTCACCTCAAACCCTGGGGAGTGGAGTCTGCTGTATGCGGACTGCGAAACAAGGAGCCTCCAAATCAACTTTTCCTTTTCAATCGTGCTGGTCGGGTCTTTAGTCACAGCAGTGAAAAAGCCAACTTGAACTGTGTTCAGTGCATCCCAAGATGTTGGGCAGTACCCCTGGCCTCTACCCACCAGATGCCAGTGGCAAATGGATTTCCAGACATTGGAGTATCTTCTGGGGGACAACCCCCCCCACACACATACAGACCTCTAGTTGAGAACCACTGAAATTGGGTGCTTTGGGGGCATGGAACAATAGGTAGTTCAAACACGCTTAAATAAAAACTTATTGGCTCAAGGAAGTTTAAAAACATCAGAGGCAGGAAGCTCCAGGGCAGCTTGGTGGGGGCTCTGCTCCACTTCTCTGCAGTTCTTTCAAGACTGCCTTCCTCACTGCTCTGTGGTCTCAAGTTGTTTTCCCGGGGAGTGGGGGAGTGGTTTTGAAGAATGGCTATCAGCAACGGGGGGCTCCGTGCCTGATTCACATCTAGGAGAAGAACTGTTGGCTGTCCCCAGACAGCAAACAAAAGACCTAACTTTGCTCTCAATGGATGCTAATGCTCCCCAAGAGAACCAATCGCTCAAAAGAATAGGATGCTGTATACTCTCAACCAATCAGGATTCACTCCCGCCATGGTTAGTCCCGCCCAAATGATGATGTGAAAGCCCATTAATTGCCTTTTCTGTTCCCCCATTTGTAAGATCATCTATTTTTCATCCGTTTTTTTTTTTGTCTTCCTATGCCTCGCCTTCTCATTCATTTTTTTTCCCTCTGAATTTTATATATTTTCAAGTTTTTCTTGGAAGCCACTACTTCAGTCCTGCTCTCCTTGCCTCTGCTGTAGGCTGGATTCTGCCATCGGGTGTCTCCCCTGCACACCCACGGGCGGTGGCCATCTGCTTCTGCCCTTGGGTCCATTCCTCACTCGGTGCGTTTGGTTTGGCGCAGTCCTGTTTCCTTGGGGGTTCTTGCCTACTGCGGTCTGCCATGTCTCAGCCGCCCTCTCTTCCGGTGGTGTCATCTCTGGAAGTACCTGCAGAGTCCCTGGGGCCTGTTTGCTGCATGGTCTCAGTTCCTGGGATCTGGTAACTCTGCTTCCTCCTTCAGCCCTCGGGGATGGGGATAGGAGGATGGTGACCTCCTGCTGGTATTAATCTCTGGGTGGCCACATTGGTCCCACTTTGGTTTCTCAGTTCTTCCTACTCTTAACTAATTCCCTCTAGCAAATTCCCTGGGATTGAAAGGTCTAGAATGGCTTTTTTTTTTTTTTTTATTCACGGTTAATTCTGTTTACTTCTGTTTTCATTTTGGACTACTGCTTTCTCTCCTAAATCAAATTTCTTGTACAGTTCACCTTTTTTTTTGTGTGTGTGTGTGTGGGGGGGCAGGATGAGTTGGATGTTTCTTAAAGTTTTGTTTCCAGAGTTTTCCAAAAAGTCACAAAACTTTTCTGCTGTCTCTTAACTAGCCAAGTTCCTCTTTTCCCTTTTCATAGGGAAAACTATGACGTTAACTAACTAAAGTAACTAAAACTATAACGTTACTTTTCTCTTGATGCTTTTAAAGTGACAATGTGGAATGGTACCTGGTATTTGCTAACAGGCTACATAGACACCTTTAGAATCTCACACTGTCCGGCTGGGCTCTGTTAGAAGCTTTCCTTTGGATTTTAAGCTGGTAGGCTCAGACTCTAGCCATGTTTCTGGTTTCCAGAGATTATCCTACTGATGCAGTTTGCTTGGGTTGAGGAGAGGTCTTGTATATTTCTACTTCCTGGTTTGGATTCCCATAACTTCAGGAGCTACTTGGGTTGAAAAGGGTACATTTTGTAATAATCCACATATTAAATACACATTTGGACATGTGAGTTATACAATGACCTTATCGTGAGTTTTGGCAGTAGGCCATATTGTCACTTCATATCTTAACATGCATAAATGAAACCATTGATAATAGTTTATTTAAGAAGCCTAAGATGGTATTACATGCCCTGTTCTTTGTGTGTACACACAGACGGCTTGAAGTTTCTCTGGTTGTGTTATTTAATAAGGGCCAATATTTTATTTTAAAAAACCCTGCTTCTCTTATGGGTGCATGACCTTTTAAGATTTGTTTATTAAAACACATAAAAAGCATGAAGAAACAAGTGGAAAATACAGGACCTGCACTTTGCCTTTTGGTACCTGGGAGTAATCTAGGTAGCTTTGCTCAAAGTTTGATCACAATGAAAAGGTACTTTGTATCTGCTGTTATTTTCCTTTGTGGTGTCTGTGTAATACAAGTCTTTCATGACCTGGTGATTCTATAACTTGAAGCTTTCTCTAATACGTCTCCTGCCCATGATATATCATTCATATAATCTCTCTATGCTTTTTTCCTGCATTATTTACTACTCCTGTAGCTCCCAATCTGTTCCTCTTTCTGCTGTCTAGGACTCATTTCCTTACTCTTTTTGACATGTATTAGATTATTTTAAAAATTATACTTTCAGGGAAAATCCAGATGTTGGATTCCTTCATACTCAGCTTGGGATTCCTGGTAATAGAAAAAACTGTAAAGTTCTCGATTCAACACGAGGTAAGTTGCAGATAACAAAACGGGCAGCAGTTGCTCCAGAAGCTTGGAGGAAGTCTCGTGTGTAGGTCTCTGTGTTGTTCCTTCTCCCCAAACGCCTTCTTTCATTCCAAAAAGGCTCTGAAGACTCTGAACTACATTTTGCACGGTGTGTCTCCTGCAGAGAGAAGAAAGTTCCCTTTGTCGGAAGGCACGTGTCATCTTATGTAAGTGACCTTGTATTTGGTTATGTGATTTCTCAAGGGCACAGTCTCTCCTTGTACTACTTTGTTCCCCTTAGACCGAATTACTTCATTCCTCCCTTTAGTAAGTGCTTTGTGTACCTAATAGATATCAGGCCCTGTGCTAGGCAGTGAAAGATGGAGGGAAAATGGTAAATGTTGCTAGACACTTCTTGTTTCCTAGTACAGGGATTTTTTTTTTCTTTCTTTCTTTACTTTGTTGCATTGAACTTTGAGACGAAATGCTTTCTTGGGCTATGGGTAATTTTTTGACGGTGAACATGACCTACCTTAATGACTCATGGAAGAGTGTCCGGAACATGGACCTAGAGCCAGGCTGCTTGGTTTTGAGTCATGGTTTTGCCACTTATGCAAGCTGTGCATGAGCCACAGACGTAACCTTGCTCTACCTCAGTTTACTTGCCTGTGAAATGGAGCGAAAAATAACTCTGACTAGATAGTTGTAAAGATTACGTCGGGCAAACCCATGTAAGGTGATTAGCCTATTACCTGGTAAAGAGTGAATGCTCCAAGGTTACTTTGCTTCAGCTAAACCAATACGGTATGAAATTTGTACTCCTTTTCAAGTGATAGATTTTTTTGGTTGATGTTCATTTTTTTTGATGTTCATTTTTTTTGGTGACCCAGTTGCAGTTATATAATTTCTGGGTTGTGAAATATGGAGGTAAGGTTGTAATATATGACACCAAGGAAAGAGTAAAACTACCTTTCTTTGAAATTTGAACCTGAATCCATGGTTTTGTGACCCACTAGGAGCATGAAGATCATCACCATGACATCCCACCATTCATGCGACAAAGCCATGACCCAGGTGTTCACCATAGTGCAGGGTCTGGAAGAGGTGATTGGCAGGTGTGGCGATTCCTGCCTTCATGTTTGCCCATTTAACTCGTCTTTTCAGGATATAGTTTTTCCACTGAATAAAAAATAAACCATTTATATTGAATACATTAATGAAATCAGTACCCTTTTAAAAAATATATATATATATATATTTTAGTTGGAGTTGGACACAATACATTTACTTTGTTTAGTTTGTTTATGTGGTGCCAGGGATTGAACCCAATGCCTCACACATTCTAAGCAAGCTCTCTACCACTGAGCCACAAGCCCAGCCCATGAAGTCAGTACTCTTAATGGTATACTTAGGTTTGGACAGTGGCTGACTAATGTTTTCAAGTTTCCAAACTAATTCTAGAAAATCTAGAATGTTCTGGACTCCAGGTTAAAGGGAGAACTTGCAAGCATAAAGAGAACTCTCAGTGGTTCTGACTTAAGGCTTGTATTTAATAGTAACAAATTGGTTCATTTATTATAAGAAATGGAATTAACACAAGGTTCTTAACAAGTCTATTCTCTAAAACATATTTTTAGACATACACTTAGTCAAAAACTCTAAAATGAATATACCATATGGAAAATTCTAAAATGAATATATAGTAGCTTAATTCCATTATATCTTTTAAGTTGATCATTTTTAAAAATCGGATCAAACAGCACATAGTATAGACCCAGAGAAATAGGTGTCAAATTATGTAAAATGATATAAACCCTCATAGACTGCTGAAGGGATTGATCTTATAATTCCAGAGCTGTATTAGATAAAACCTTAGATCACCAGATTAAAGTAACTTCATAGAGAATGAAATAAATAAAACTTCAAAAGGTGTAGTGGCTCCAAGTTTCACACCCACAAAAACCCTGTGTAGATAATTAACATATAAACTTGAAGATTTTTCCACAAAAATGTATGATCCATGTGAAAATTCTGATGGTTTGAAATTGTTGCAAAAATACAGATCTTGGTCTTAAAATTTGATGCCCATCTGATTAAAAAATAATTTTACCTCTTGCTCTTCATTTCAATAAAATATGTTCTATCTAAATGTTTCAGGAAGAACCTGGCATGGACAATCTTGACTGTGGGTGGTAAGAATTAGTTCAAGTTTTAAATAATTAGAATATTAAATATTGGACACCATTTTAAAAGTGAGCATCTTGAATCCATTATGGTCAAATTAAAGATAATTAAGATTCTACTTTTAGTTTGAGAAAATTAAAAACTATTAATAATAAGGAGATATGTATTTATTTACTCACCAGCCAGTTCTGTCAAATTTTGGTATTTTGTCACATCTGCTTCCACTGAAATTCTTTTACATAAAAGAAATCAGAATCTCAAGTTAAGTCCCCATGTCTGTCTCCAATTCCATTCCCCTTTCTTTGACTTGAATTTATTTTTTCATTCCCAAGCATATTTTTCTATTTTGTGTATTCCATAAGCAACATACATTATTTTTACAGATTTTTAAAACATTATATAAATTCCATCCCATTGGACACATCCAGTTACAACTCCTTTTTTCTCTTGGAACATTTGAGATTTAAACATATCAATATATATAGTTTAAGTTTATCTGTTGTGAAATACCATAATTGATCTTGATATTCTTTGTTTTGGGGGGGTGGTAACGGGGAATGAACTAAGGGGCACTTGACCACTGAGCCACATCCTCAGCCCAATTTTGTATTTTATTTAGAGACAGGATCTCACCGACTTGCTTAGCACCTCACTGTTGCTGAGGCTGGCTTTGAACTTGCGATCCTCCTGCCCCAGCCTCCTGAGTCACTGGGTTTACAGATATCTTTCTTTTTGTAGCAATATTTTAAGGCTTTTTGATCTAATCTTATTACTATTTTAATATAACTAAAATATAAAACACATAATTTTTAAAAAACGGGTGTCTACTGACATATTGTCTATATTTTTTCTCTTAACAATTCTTAAATGTGATTTAAATGATTTAATTGCTCCAGGAGACATCTTCTTAGAACTGTAAGACATAATGCTAGTCTTCCAAGATGGAATTTCCCCCCGTATTTTTAATTGGTGCATTATAATTATACATACTAGTGGGACTCATTGTTACCTATTCATACGTGCTTATGATGTAACTATAATTTGGTCAATATTGTTCCTCAGTATTTTTTCATTCCCTCCTCTCCCCCTTCCCAATTCCCTTTCATCTGCTGATTTGCCTTGATTCCCTTTCATCTGATGATTTGCCTTCAATTTTCACGAGATTCTCCCCACCATCCCTGTCTTTCTTTTGTTTTGGAACTGTAGATTGAACCCAGGGGTGCTTAACCACTGAGCCACATCCCCAGCCCTTTTAATATTTTGTATCGAGATGGCATCTCCCTGAGTTGCTTTGGGTCTTGCTAAGTGGCAGAGGCTGGTTTTGAACTCATGATCCTCCTGCCTCAGCCTCCCAAAGGGCTGAGATTACAGGCGTGCGCCACTGCACTCGACCTCTTTGTTCTCCCTTGATTCCACAAATGGAAAAAAAAAAAAATGTGACCCTTGACCTTCTGAGTTTGGCTTAATTCTCTTTATATGGCGTACTCAAATTCCATCCATTTTCTTGCAAATGACATAATTTCGATTCTTTCTGGCAGAAGAAAGCTCCACTGTGTGTAAGTATCCCACATTTTTTCTCCATTCATAGGAGGGAATTTCTCAGAGCAGGTACTAACTTTGGAACCTGCATGTCCTGCTGCCTGGTGCCCAGAACTATCTACATCTGCCCTGTTTTTACTCTAGATTATGACCAGCAGGTCACTCTCACCGAGGCGCTGTGTAGGATGACGACTAGAACATCCAGGCGTGACCTTGTCCACCAGTGGTTTGATGATGAGGTCCTTGCTGAAGCTTTCAAGAAAATTAGGGACCGAGAATTTGAGACGGTGAGAAGCCTGGTTACAAAAATTCCTGGTTGGTGGGTATTTATTAAGCCTCTGCTCAGTCCTGTCCTGTGTGTGGGCCTGGATGGAGTTTTCTTTTTCTTCATTATGATTAAGTGGCCTTTCTTAAGTTTCTATTCCGTGTAACAGTGAAATAATTTTGAAGGCAACATGAGGCCAAATGAGGAGATGAAGATGGGGCTCTGAGGCTGGGGACCGAGCTCTGTGAATTGATGTGTCCAAGGACTCGTCCAAGAAACACATGGGAGAGGGGAACAGTTTTCCACAAATCTCAGAGTGGGGGAGAGAATGGGAGAAGGAAAGAAAGAGCACTTGAGCCATGGAAAGAGCAGCTGTGTCGCTGGGAGGTGTTGATCCAGAGACTGAAGAGCCTTATGGGGTGGTTGTGCTGTGAGCCATGCAGCCTGTCCCATTTAGAGGAACAGTTATTTTCAGTATCTCGACACCACCCCAGCTTACTGTGGTCATGTCCTCAAGTAGCACAGAAAAATGCCCTACAGCTTCATTGTGTATCTGACTGCATCCTAACAGCTAAAGCATCTCCCCTGTCATTTTAATGTTCTTAAAATGAAAGACTCTTAGAAAAAGATAAAAATTCATAATAATAGTTTTCATGTTAATCAGACCTCTCGGGTTCAACCTGCCATGTAATTGGGACTCATGCACAATTCAGACTGTATTAAATCAGGACCTCGTATATTTATCTCCTCCTCTGAGCTAGTGCCTTATACTTGGTTGGTGTTTAGCCAGATTCAGTATGTTCTAAATGGAAAGCCCAGGAGCCTAGGGGCTGTTCTGGACTTGGGCTCTAGTTCCACCACCCTGACTTGCATGATGCAGGTATTTTGGCCAGGTGCATGACTTGTGAAGCCAGAGTGTCCTCCCCTGCAAGAGGGGAATAGACCCTGCCCCACCCCCACCCCCATCAGACTGCTGAGCACTTAATGGGAGAAGCTGAAATTACCTGGTATCAATTTCCTTTTGTCATTTCCTCATCTGCAGGGAAATTTGTCTACCATAGGAGAAAAGTAACTACCTTATTTCCAAAATCCTTTCTACCCTGTCAGCTTTTTAATTGAATTGCTTTCAGTTAAAGAAAATTGGCGATGGAAAACACACCCAGAGAAACCCAGAGTTGATTCGTTTGATGGATTTGTGATTGGCTGTGATGCACAGGTGTTAGGAAGATTAGTTCAATATTGTAATCTTGGGGTTTTTTCTTTCTTGATTATTCTTCTGACCCAGAGAAGCAGTAGTGCATATGACTTTTGGAGACCTAAGTATTCATTGGCTAAAAACTTAATGCTTTGGTGAGGAGTAGTTATTTCCAGAAATGTAGGCTTGGAATATTCTCTTTGTGGTACAAAGTGTCGCTAACACAAAATGAGTTCTTGTGAATCCTGGTGATATTCCTGGACCCTGAGGGTTTGGAAGCAAACACTGGCCTCTGCCTGCTGGTTAAAGAAGATATTTTGATTTCTTTTTTTTTTTTTTAAATAAAACTTGCCATTATTTATTTTAAAGGATAGTCGACTTTTTCTCAATCACCTCAACAACAGACTTGGTGAGAAAAGAAGGTAAGATGTTTCTCTGTGTACTGTTTTCTTGACTAATTACTTTCTAGAAATGTCTAACATTTTACAAGAATAGGATCTGTTTCACTTTAGATATAGGATCCAGTTGATCAGATCGCTTATGCCTAGTGGTTCATCTGAGTGTTTAAAAAATTATCTGCCTTTAGCATGTTTTTTGACTTTGCATATTTATTTTTAGCAAGACATCCTTGAGTGAGTCTGTAGATCTTAGGAAGAGCAAGGTCATACAGACTTGAGGTCCCTGGGGATTCAGATATCATGGACAGTTACATCCTTGATGAGACAAGGGTTGTTAAATTCACCCCTTTCTTTAGGAATCTTTCAGAATAATTTGGCTGAATTACAGTACTAGTGAGCTGTCCAGCTTGAGAGTAGATTTCTATTTGCAGGGTTGAAACCCCTTACTGTCCTCTCTATGAGGAGACTTAGTGACACACCCTAGTTATAGATGCTTGTTGCAAAACATTTGTAGGTTGTGTGTGGGGTCCATCCTTAATTTTTAATGGTGAGGTGTTTTGCAGGGTCTATTCATTTCCGTGTATTGCTGCTTTTGCTGATGAGCATGAGGTATGTTTATCTCTCTCGGTGGGTGGGTGAGAGTGGAGTGCAAGGAAACCTGTAGTTAGGTTAGATTGTTATTACTCAGAAGGGCTTTATACAAAGGTTGCCAATTTCTCCTAGTGATCTCAACTTTGAAATCATCCATGCTGGACCATGACATGATGCTTGGCCAGTGAGCACAGGGGCTCTCCTGCTACTACTGGGTAAAGGAGTTTTAGGGTCCATACTGTACATATGTCAATTACAGGAACCTTGCCTTATTTTTCCCTATTGATGGGTGACATCCTTTAGGCCTGGACTTTTTCTCCTCTGATTGATGCCTCTCTTTTTTCTGACCAAGTGAGACCATATTCCTTTTCTCTACTTTGTCATTGTATAATATTGTGCAAACTACCCCTATAGATAAAGTACCTTTATATCACAAGTGCTTGATACTATCTTTCTTTCTACCTTGCACTTTCTAGCCAAGGTTGACCAGCTGCTTTTCACCCCCTTCTTCAGTCTCTAGAGGAACAAGTTCTTTCATTATACAAGGTCCCTGACCTACAGTGTCTCATTTGCAGGGTGAAACCTTCAGGGGCCTTAGAACCTTGACTCAGCTGCAGATGCCTTAACCCCATCTTTAGATTGTCCTCTTAACAACTTCTTTAAGTTCAGAGCCTGTGTTCGTCTCTTGAGCTGAACTTTGAGCTTGTGAATACCCTACACATTCCCTCTCTCTAGAACAGACATTGGTCGACGGATCCCTGTATCCCACTTTGGCCTGTTTTCCTTTGGTCTGAGGTCTCCTCTCTTCACTTGGCTCTAAGACTTCCAGATTTCCATTGGCTTCAACCAGTCCCCTTGTGCTGGCTTCTGGTGGCATACACTGGGAGCAGAGGTCTTCATCCAGCTCTGTAGCCATGACAGAGTGGCATGCGTGATGAAAAGATGTCTAAGCAACACCGTTTATTGGAAAAGCAGGCTGTAGAATAGCAAGTCTGCAGTTTGCCCCATCACTGGGGAATAAGAACTTTATATATACAGTTGCCCTAATCCAAAAACCAGAAATGTTCCAGAATTGAAAACTCACAGAATCCATGTGACCTTTTCAAGTGGAAAATTCCACATCCGACTTCACTTGATGCAGTCAAAACACAGTGTCCTGAAAATACTGTATAAAATTGTCGGGAGCTGCCAAGTAGGAAGCGAGCCGCCTGTTAGCCTTGAGCGATGAGAATGTGGAGATGCGGCAAGCCAGCCATGGGCTCTGTGTGTGAACTGTGAGCCTTGAGCACACAGGGTGGACTGAACCAGCGCTGCCCCTCTGTTTGGGCGGGCAATATGTGCATCTTTTTGCTCGCTCTGCCTATGAGCCCCACACAGCACATGAGATGGGTGTGGCCTTCCTAGGTGTCAACCTGCTGACAGCAAGACATCATGCAGCTAGACTCCACCCCCTGAAACCTGACCCCTTGCCTCATTTGAATGGCTTCTCCCCAATAAAAGGGTTCAGCATGTGCTCCCAGCTCTTTCTTGCCTGCCTGCCCCCCTGGTGGGAGCTGCAGCTGAGGAGCAGTCACTGAGCCCAAAGAAAAGGTACTTTCTGAGTCTGTCTTATATTTAGTCCCCAGATTCACTTGGAGTGACCCTGATCGGTTTAGACGTGTGACATGGCATAAAATGACCTATGTATGAGGTGTATGTGGTCTGTAAATGAATTTTGGGTTTAGATTCAGGTTGTTGCCCCCAAGAAATCTCAACTACATACATGCAAATGCTCCAAAATACAAAAAGTTACGAAGTGCGTTGGGGTTGCAAGCATTTTGGATAAAGGCTGCTGAACCTGAACTTCCTGATAACTTGTCTGCAAAACCTGTGGCGGGAACTGGAGAGGACAAAGGCGTTGCTAATAGTGCCTATTGAAAGGGACCAATGGGAAGTTAGGAGGCAGGTACCACACTATTTGAGTCTTTCTTTTCTAAAGCATATATTATAATTATCAGTTAAAATGAAAATGCTCTGAACTTAAGTCTTTTTCTAACAGATGGTAGCTCAGGTAACAGATCACTCTTCAGATTTAATCACATCTCCCTTTCTAAAAGTATCCCTCTATATGCTGCATGGATTGTCACTGCTTCACCATAGAACTGACGGCTTCATGATTCTCGCCAGTAAGAATTGTTTAGCTAGGGTCATCTGACATTTAAAATATCTATTAAATGTGCTAAGGACAGGGATTTTATTGGGAATGGCTTGGTCATGTAAAGCTGAGATCTTTGTTTTGCACAAACTAATCAGGAAATGAAGGGGGCCCTGAAGTATTAGGATAGTGCTGTTCTAGGAAAAGCACAAGATTTTTTTTTAATTAGTACTATTTTATCTGACCCTATAACATAGTTTTTTTGTGTGTTTTACTTTTTTGCCGAAATTCTCTTACAGATGAGAAAACCAGCAGATGAAAAATTAGAGAAATTTTGGATTGATTTCAACCTCGGAAGTCAGAGAGTAACTTTTTATATACACAATGATGAGGTGAGGAGTTTAATTCCCTAATAGATCTACCTGCTTAATGTATTTGGAAACGGGTTATATGCTCATGAGTTTCATCTGTGTACTTTCCCTAGAGTGCTCTGTGGGACCCAGTAAGAATTTTGAAGGAAGGAGTTGTTAACTTCAGAGTAATAGGTAAGATGATAATTCAGAACTCCTCCACATCTCAGTACTTGTTTATATTTGCAGTATGTGTTAAGACCAGATTTCAGCCATCTCGTGGGCCAGAGGAAAGGCAGTGTGGTACAGTGGAAGGCTCATTGTGCTCAAGGCAAGGTTTAGGGGGCATAGTATCGATGACTTCTTTGCTATGGGGCTTTGGGATTCAACTGCTTGCCTAGTTTTCTCAACTCATAGTTATGGTTCTCGCCAGATTAAAAGCAGAACTGCCACCAGATGTAGTGGTGCATGCCTGTAATCCCAGTGTCTGAGGAGGCTGAGGCAGGAGGATCTTGAGTTCGAGGCTAGCCTCAGCAACTAAGACCCTAAGCAACTTGGTGAAACCCTGTTTCAGCATCTCGGTTGTAATTATACATGATCAGGTTTCCTGAAATGGGTTTTTAAAATACAGAAGGGCTGGGGATATAGCTCAGTGGTAAAGCAGCCCTGGGTTTAATCCCTAGAACCAAAAAAATTAAAAAAAAAATGCGGAACTACCATGTAACTTTTCCAGAAGATTTTTATCAATATATAGTCCAGTGATTTCACTTTGAGATATATATGCAAAAGAATTGGAAGGAGAATGTTGAACTGTTTATCCATGTTCATAGCCGCATTACTCACAACAGCTAAAAAGTGAAAATAACCCAAATGTTCAGTGAAGAATGAATGGTATCAAATAAAATATCCCATCCGTGCACATGTATACCACGTTATGCAGCTTTGGAAAGGGAAATTCTGACACCTGCCACAACACAGAGGAACCTTGAGGTCATTAGGCCAAGTGACATAAGCCAATGTGAATATGGCAAAGTACGGATCCCAATGTATGAGGGTATTTAATGTCAAATTCATAGAGACAGCAGATTGGCCGTTGTCAGGGCTGTGGGAAGGGAGAAATGGATAGCAGGTGTTCAAAGGGGGACCAAGTTTCCGTTTTGCAAGATGGAAAAGTTCTGGAGATCCCGTTGTATAACAATGTGCATGTGCTAACTTAAATTAAAAAACACAAATGATTAGGATGAACATTTTGTTTTGTGTAGGGTTGTCCTGCCACCCCCAAACTGCCACGCCCCCCCCCCCAGTCACAACTTGGAAAAATGGTTTTGGTACCTGTCTTCCTCTCCCACAGAGTCACAGTAACAACTGATCAGTGAGTTCTCAGGCATCAGTGCCACCTCTTGGGTTTTGATTTCAGTCCTTTGACCCCCTGATGTTTCATCCCATCTTGAGAGATGGCATGGAGTGATCTTGCTCAGCATCTTAGCTGTAACCGTACATGATCAGGTTTCCTGAATTGGGTTTTTAAAATACAGAAGGGTATATTTTCATTCTACCCCTGGAGCCCACCCCAGCCCAAGATTCACATCTGCTGCTTAGCTTCCTGGAAGCCAGGGTGAAAAGTGAAATATGACCTGTGAGCATCTCTAAATTAGATGTTATCATAAATGTTACTCCTAATTTTAGGAGTAACTTATATAGTAAATTTATATAGTAATTGTTAATTTAAGATGTATAAGATGGCATTGATAATAGTAAATAAGGACTTCCTTGGGTTTCTGACTGGGGTAACCCTTAACATTGCTTTTCTGACTTTGTGCCTCAACTCTGAACTTTGCTACACTCATTGTTTTCAATAACTAAGTTGTCAAAGTGAATATTCTATACTTTATTAATAGATCATAATACTACTGTGACACTTTGTCAAGATACCATGTGGCACTTTGTAAATACAAAGTGGGTGTTTCCATTTTTTTTTTAATAACTGAGGAAAACAAAGATTAACAGACTCTGCAAATGAGACTTTGATCTTGTCTACACAGTCCTTCTGGCTGGGGAGTCGGCCAGGTACGTTGGCAGCGTGGTGTGACCTTCGGTATTTCTTCTGATCCGTACGTGTTTGTGTTGATCCCCAAAGCCCAGCTAGCTAAAAATACATGTATTTTTGCAGATGATGGTTTTGAACCACTCTTGCAGCAGAGTTTTAGAAAGACTCTGCAGTGAGGAGTGGACATCCAGTGAGATCCGAATTTGGGGAAGATTCCCTGACCTTGACTCTAGACCAACACTGCCCCATACATAGAAATAAAATGTGACGCAGGGGCTTCAGAATGGGAGAGACTCTTCACTACCTGCACCTTATATAAGGCATTAGTCTCCCAAAAAGCTAAACACCAAGACAAAACAAATAACCTAATCAATAGATGGGCAAAGGAACTGAACAGGCACTTCACAGAAGAAATACAAATTATTAACAAATATATGAAAAAATGCTCGACATCTCTAGCAATCAGAGAAATGCAAATTAAAACTACACTGATTCTCAGTTCAGTCAGAATGACAGTTATCAAGAATACAAGCAATAATAAATGTTGTCGAGGATGTGGGGGGAGAAAGGTACTCTCATACATTGCTGATTGGACTGAAAATTGGTGCAATCACACTGGAAAAACAGTATGGAGATTCCTCAGAAAACTTGGAATGGAACCACCATTTGACCCAGTTATCCCACTCCTCAGCTAAAACCCAAAGGACTTAAAACCGGCATGCTACGGTGATGCAGCCACATCAATGTTTACAGCAACTCAAATCACAATAGCTAAGTTATAGAACCAACCTAGATGCCCTTCAATAGATGAATGGATAAGGAAAATGTGGTACATACGTACAATGGAACATTATTCAACCTCAAAGAATAATGAAATTATGGCACTTGCCGGTAAATAGATGGAACTGGAGGCTAATGCTAAGTGAAATAAGCCAATCTCCAAAAACCACAGGCTGACTATTCTCTGATGTGTGGATACTGGGGTGTTGGGGGAGGAAGGAGTGGAGGTTCACCAGATTGGACGGGGAACGGGGGGAAGGGAGGCAAGATGGAAATGGGAAAAGTAGAATGAATCAAACATAACTTCCTATGGTCATATATAAATATACGACCAGTGTGACTCTGCATCATGTATGACCACAAGAATCAGTAATTATACTCTATGTATGTCAAATCCCACTGTCATGTACAACTAAAAAACAAAAATGTGGGCCACATATTTATATTTAAAATTTTTTTAGTAGCCACTTGAATTGAAAAGTGGATTAACTTCAATACTATCTTAACCCAATGTATTCAAAATTTTAATGTGAAATCGATATAAAGAACCTTTGAGCTATTATACGTTGTCCTTCGTGTTCTAAATCGTCTCAGTCTGGCGTGGAGGTCACACTTGCAATGTGTCTCCATTTGCATGAGCTGTGTTTCAAGTTCTCCACCGCCCAGATGGCACGGCTCTAGACCTGTCTCTTTTCCCTCTTTCCATTCCCATCAAAACATGGTTGTTAGCTTTGTCCGCACTTTCATGGACTCTACATTCTCTCCTCCTGCTTCCATCTACTCTCTCCTTACTGCAACTTATGCTTGGACTTAATTTTGATCTGAGTAATTTTCTCCTCCAAAACCAATTACCCCTTGTCGGTGGCATCCTGGTAGGAGAGCCCAGGAGGCTTCCACCCGAGATGCTCTTCTCACTGATGCCCCCACGTCCCCTTTTTAAAAGGAGTCTGTTGAAATGAAAGTGGGTCGTTCCATTTTGTATATCAGAAACAGGGGACTTCATTTTGTATTTTAGAAATTTGTGGGGTCCCAGAGAGAAATGTTGTGCTTAGTGTTTTGGGAAGTAAAATGCTATCGGATGAACAAAAGGCTCTTACAAAAACTTTGGATTTCTTTGATAAAGTAAGCTACTTCCTTTTATTGGAAGATCAACCAATCATGTATGTGTAATAAAATAAAAATTTTTTTTTAAAATTTTATTTATTTTTTGACTGGATGTTCAAAACATTACAAAGCTCTTGACATATCATATTTCATACATTAGATTCAAGTGGGGTATGAACTCCCATTTTTACCCC